GGCCTAAAAAACATTTTTAAAAAAACTGTTCTTAATATCATAACACGGCAGGAGAAGAAATCACACACTCTGGCCAAGCAGTGGTGAATTTACTATTCGTCATATGAAAAACAAAAATAAAAATTCCTGATGCATCTTAATTTATGGAAAAAACTTCCTGCAGATCATCTGGGGCGGAGGAAGAAAAAAAAAAGAGGAAAAAATGGCAGACTGATCATCTCTGTAGAGCAGGATGATGGTATTTGTTTTCTCCAGCTGAATCCTACCCAAATACTCTAGGAAATGAATGAAATTTATTTATATATTTATTTATTTATTTAGAGACAGAGTCTCACTCTTGTCGCCCAAGCTGGAGTGCAGTGGTGTGATCTCGGTTCACCGGAACATCCTCCTCCCAGGTTCAAGTGATTCTCCTGCCTCAGCCTCCCGAGTAGCTGGGACTGCAGGCGCCGCCACCACATCCGGTTAATTTTTTTTCTTTTGTTTTTTTAGTAGGGACGGGGTTTTGCCAGGTTGGCCAGGCTAGTCTCGAACTCCTGACCTGAGATGAGGAGGTCAGGAGTTCAATGTCAAATGTTGGGAAGCTGAGGTGGGAGGATTGCTTGAGTCCAGGAGTTTGAGACCAGCCTGGGCAACATGGTGAGACCTCATCTCTTGCCTGCCTCAGCCTCCCAAAGTGCTGGGATTACAGATGTGAGCCACTGTGCCCGGCTGATAACTTTAACTAGGAAAAAGTAAGTTTTGGATAAAACTGTCTTCCCTTGCATCCTTTCCTTACATAGCATCAAATGCTGAATGATCAGCAAACATCATGATCTGGTCTTGTTGAGAGAACACCCGCTCCAGCTGCCGCCATGAGCCTGGGGGCTGTTACCAGCAGCAGTTTCTTTAGGGTTAAGAAGATTTTAAGGCAAATAATGACTCCTAATACTCACATGTCATCGCTCACACCTTATTTCTCCTCTTGTGAGCTAAGCGGTTGATCACTACGGGCTAAGGGCTCTTTGCTGCCCGGGTAAGCACGGCAAACATGGTGGCTCTGCACAGCCTCCTCTGGAGCTGCACTGGACGGCGCATGTGGAGGCAGCATCTGCTCCTCGCCAGCCCCCACCCCGTTCGGCTGCCGTTTCCCACCTTCTTTTCCAATGAGAAAGAACTTGAGGGATTTAAAAAACTTTGTAACAGAAACTGCACAACCAGAAACTGCACTGTCTGGTAGGTGGACAGCAATGTCCGGTGCCTGCCGTCCACGGCGGCCCTGAGAACCCGTAAAGGGCTCTGCCCTGACTCTGCTACATCTGCCTGCCCACAGTTCTCCAGGCAACCAACAGCCAGTGATGGTGCTTGGATCTTGAGATGAAACTGACTTGCGAAGTCCGCAGCCACTGCAGCCCAGCGAGGGGAAGAGGATGGACCCAGGGTGTGTGGCTCCTGAGGGCCGGGCTGACACTCAGGCTGGGGTCTGCAGACTCCATGGCTTGGGTCACTCTCTCGGGAGACCCCGCCCTCTCTAGCTCCCGTCACTCCCATACACCCAGCTGCCTGGTCTCAGAGCACACTGGGAATCACTGTGGTTATTACCGGCAAGAAGATGGGAACAGGGATGTCTGCTCTGCTCAGGCTTTTTCAAAACCCTGCAGATTCTGTCTGCTCAGAGGCTGCAGTGGCTCAGGTTACTCAGCTCTGACTAAGCCTTCTTGAGCTGAGTGGTTGGGGACGGAGCTTCTGCTGACAGCTCACCCAGGAGCTCCTCTGCAACAAGACATGCCTGCAGCGAGTGACGTCCCGCTGCCCTCTTATCAGACACACGTCTATGTGATCACAAGTCCCTGCCTAGAAAAGACGCTCACCCACGGGGCGCAATGGTCTACAAAGCTGGAAATGAAGGTCTGCTTGATTCAGTAGAGGAGGAGGCATGCCAAATGTTGACAGCATCGAGCCCTCTTCCTTAGTTGTAAGGCCCTCAGGTCTTTCCAAGGGCGCACTATTAGCGTTTAATCACAGCCTCCATGCTGGCCAAGCATTGGTTGGCTTCCGGACTCCGCTCCGAAGCTCTCCCTGCAGCTTCTCTAAAGAGCTGGGGCAATGGTGGGTCTCAGACTAAAGGCGATAGCTTTGCAAACCGCAAGCACACCCGCCAGCTCAGTCCAGCGGGAGCCCTGGGGGAGGGCAGATGCACTCACGGCAGCTTACATGTGAACCGCACAGAGCTGGGCAGCGCCTATCCCATGCAGAGCTCATTTTTAAGCGGCAAGGTTATAATTTCTAGCCTTAACGTTGTCCATCTTGATTTTCTCCTGTCAGTTCCTTCTCGTCCACTATACTGACCACATAGGTACAAGGTGAAAGAAAAGAAACCCACCTGAAATCTAGGTCAGGCCACTGAGTGTGGGAGAGAAGTGGAGGGCAGTGCCCAGCAGAGCGGGGCAACCACAGCTCCACAGCTGAGCGAGGGGAGCCCTGGCACTCCAGGCTTCTGGGGAGCAGCCCTCCGGTGCCTGCAGCTGCCTGACATGGAAGCAAGCACCCAGGCCAGCGTCGGGTTCACTCTGCATCCTGGCTGGGCACTTCTGGGGTGGGTGACCTTGGTTCAGCCCCTCCACTTCTCGGGACAAGTTTCCTTCCCAGTAAAATGCCTACAGTCACCCTGAGCTCCAAAATCCATGAACCCTTGTGTTCCCTTAGGTTGAGAACTTTAACTCAGTTTTGCTGGAACCGCGGCATTCCAATCAACACACAACTGCCTCCCGAGAGACATGACCCAAACGCAATAGAAACCGCAGTAAAGGAGGAATGATATAACATACTGTTATTATTTTTATAAACATGCTTTAAATCAAACTAGGCCATAAATCACCTTGGTTTCAGAGAAAGCCAAAATACTGACACCATCTTTTATTTTCCTATTAAAGTCAAGAATGTGTTAATCCAAATTAACTGAAAAGGAATTGAAGCTCATTTCCTAAGACACGTCTATTCATAAGTCAAACAGCATTACCTAACTCCTAGAATGAGGCAATTTCTGGGCTTAGAGATCGGCCTAGTGCAATTCACTCCTTTGATGGAAAATCAAACCTCAGGCAGTCGACAGGCCAAGGTCACAGAGGCAAAGCAGGGATGGGAACCAGCCTCCCTGAACCTGTTTCCCACAAAGGGCGAGGCTCTGGGCCCACACGCAGGCAGGCCGAGCTCAGTATCTGATGGTGAATGAATGTAGCGAAGTGGAGCTCCCCACAGGGCACGGCTCTTGTAACTGCTTCACAAATAAGCGATTTCCAGGTTATGGAGACATCCTAGTACAGAATTAAACGCTTCCAACTCAGACTTTTAACTCCTCAGAAGCCAGAGTGGTTTCTCAGCCCTGGCTACATCAGCCAACAATCTCGCCAAGCAAGGCACCAAGGGGCAAAGAGATCACCTCCAGAACTGGAGTGTTCCTTCTGCTGGCAGAGGAGCAGCCCGCCTGCGGCCTTGTTCTGTGTTTACATCAACCACCCAATTCACCCATGTCACAGACCTTCAAAATGCGGGCTTAGGGACAAGGCAAGGTCTCCAACATCAACAGACGGCTGCAGCACCCTAAGAACACCAAACATTCCTTTTCTAGGTGGGTTTAGAATGGCAGCCAACAGAGGTAGCACTTGGGGTCGGGAAACGGTTTTGACTGAACACACGCACGAAAGCAAAGGGAACTGGCATGCAGAGGTGGGTGGGGAGGGGAGAGTGAGGCCTGGCTTTGAAGCTGAGCTCCCGGGGATGATGCCAGGCACATCGGGTTTGGGGCTGAGCGTTCAGGGCTGGGGGCCCGGAGGAGGGGGCCAGGGCCCAGGCCTGGGCGGAAAAGGGGGTCCCCGGGGATCGGGGTGGGGTCCCGGG